AAAGCTCCGAATGAAAATAAAACCGGTCGATCGCAACATTTCTGTTACACCAGAGTGCGAATGAAAGAACTTATGGGAGATCAGAATCATATGCACACGCTAACGCTTAATGTGGACAACGGTGGAACGAATAAATCATTGTAATATGTTGTTTCCAAGTCATCTGGAATTAGTGTTGCGTTAATCTTAACAACTTATTAAAATCAATAAAAGCTTCAGTCAGTCTGTACAGGCAAGCTGGTTGGTAGCAAAGAATGGGAATTCGTTCCCATTCTTCCCCATTCCCATGCTCTTCCATGGTACAAAGTATTCAGCGTTTGGGATGTAGATGAAATTTACTGGTCACAACCCACAGGACCACATGTTGATAGCTGATCAACTCAAACCATACAGCAGTTCGTAAGGAAGAAACTCAAACTCAACTTCAGGAGTTCAACAGGAATTTGCAGCAGCATTAATTTTCGGAGTAAACATCAGACTATACAACTCATTGTATCTATCACCTATGGCGCAATAGCATAAATCTCCGACTCGTAAAAGTTAGGTACTAACTTCGGATCCCGCAGTTTCCGGTGGGTGCGCGTTACGGACGCAAACCAACAAGATGAATCTGCCGTCTCTCGTTTTCCTGGATGTGTGATTGTTGTCTAACTGAGTATCGGTGAGAAGCATCTTCAGAAAACAGAACACTTCCCTACCAGTATTTGATAAATAGTTAGATAGTTCAATAATGTATGATGGGATAAAAAGCACAACTTTGCAAGACCCACAGGATGGACATGCAAAAGAAAATTAAAAGCAAAATGTTCCAACGTGGAACGTAAAGTATCAGTGGTTAAATCATTGCACTTTAACAAAGTGTTGTGTATCGTTTATCACTAAGATGAAAATCTAAGAGTCTTTCGAATGTCGTCATGTCTGGTGCGTTCACCACATAGTTTGGTAATGCATTCCAGTGAGAACAGATTCTAAGTGAGAAAAAATACTTTCCACAGTTCAAACGAGAGTGTTGCGTCATTAGTTTCAGGTGGTTGCCTCGGTTTTGTTTGTATGGGGCTAGAATCAACAGTGATGTACATGGACGCTCGCTTTCGGTTAGTATCCGGTATGTGAGAGTAAGATCCCCGCGAAGCCGTCGGTATTCTAATGAGAACACACCGAGTACACGAAGATGCATTTCGTAACTTATACCGGATAGTCCACGCGTTGCCTTTGTGGCTCTTCTTTAGGGTTGTTCCTATAGGCAAATGTCTCGTTTTAATCATGGACACCAGGCTTGAATTGCATATTCAACGCGAGGGCGAATAAAGGAGTTAATCAACATTGGCACTAACCGTCGCTCAAAGGGGCCGTGAGCTCGCCTCAAAATTCTAAACTTCAAGGTCTCTACACTTGCTGCTTTCGAACATTTGAGCGAATTGCTAAGACTCTCCTGCACGCTAACAAACTTCTCTCTTCTTCCCTCCCCCTGCCCTCCTATCTCTCAACACTATGCGAGCCGCGATGAGAGATGTCGCGATGTGATCTGCGCGAGCTGGAGTGCGCGCGCGAGAGCGCGAGACTCGCGTGTAGTGAGAGTCGCGTGGAGAACAGCACACTCCTCAGCGAGTGCCACTCGCCATCTCTCTACTCGTGGTCAGTGGAACTAGAGGCTCCGAAGATGCACCCTTGTCGCAGCTCAATATTAGCAGTTATCCTCGCAAAGAATCAATAAAACAACAACCCCCATCTCAGGACATCATTTATCTCTATCACACTCACTACTCACCCAACATCTATCTCATAACCTCCCTTATAAACCGTCTTCACTGGAGGTACTTGTACCACGAATAAAAAATGGGATGCTGAGGGCCTAGCGAAACGGCGAACTCAGGTGCGAGGCGGACGGCGGGAGAGGGGAGATGGAAACCACTAAACATCTGATGAGGATCACACAAAAAAAAATCTAACGATACGACAGCTCAAAACCGATTGAATGGTAATCTGTACGCTCCTAGCAGGGCATCGGAGAGCGACGCGTAACCCAGCACTTTTCGGCATCCAAACCGAGGTGGGAAACTGCACACAGCTTAATAAAATCGGCCAAATATCCCCATAGTGTGTAACATAATATGAGGGCGGATACTTTACGGGTGACACATATACCAAATGGGCAATATTGGGTGTTGTCCGGGAATTACCCTATCTATATCTATCTCTATATATATTCGAATATGAACGAGCGCACGAGAGCAGAGTGAATAATAACTACTCTAGTGCAATCATATCAAATATGGCCAGTTATCGATAACACATCAACACACTTATATTTGTCGGCTAGCGTGGACAAGTGATAGCGCGTTGAGACTATCACTAATGTTCTCAAATTTACATAGTGTGCAAGAATAGTAAGATAATCATTATAATATGGAAGCAGATATCCTATATCTATCACTCCTGACACACAACTCTATGTGTAATTGTATAATAGTTTATATAAATTAAGCGCTAGCGAAAGAAGTGTCTTCCATATATCTAGGGATATCTATACAATTCCTAATATGCTTCACTATAACAAACAAATGTACCTAAATAAAATCATAATGATCTATGCAGAGACTAGGGGGGTAGTGAGATCATCTTCTTCTCATCAAAAATACACGCTAAAAATTTGAGAGAGAGTGATAGCGAGAAAAGGGGTAGAGATTGGAGGTGTTTATTTGTGATGGTTTATGATATGAGTGGGATAAGACTACATAATTCACTGTATAAAAATGAAGAAAGGGGAATGTTGGAAGGTGTTGATGATTTGGGGGGGTTAAGTGAGGGAGAGGGAGGGGTTTTAATTGGGGGGGGATGGTGGTTTGTGAGGGGTATGGATTTGTAGGGTGAAGGGGAATGATAGAGTGGTAAGGGGTGAATGTTAGGGGGGGTGGGGGTTTATTGGGGGTTGGGGTGGGTTTTGAGTTATTTTAGAGTTGTAATAGTAAATTAAAATAAAAAGAGATGGTAGGTGGGTGAGGGATGGGGGGGGGAGGGGGGGAGGTTCGAGGTCGAGAGAGACGCGAGCGCGATGTGTGGCACACAGGTGAAACACGAGTGGGCTGGCAAAAGGAGGCACGAGAAGAGAAATTTTGATGAATAATCAACAAGAGCGATGCATAGTGTATCAGTTGTGTTACACGAGACTAAGGTAGGAGGGGGGAATGGGGGGGAGAGAGTGTCTCTATCTGCGCGCACATACGTAAAAAATCACAAATAATAATAAAGAACTTATGTTCTTTATCTTCAAAGAGCGCGAGCGTGACATGAAACAATACCTATGAGCAGTAGTAATGGTGACAGTACGTGAGAATATAAATTTAAATTAAGACAACAGAGGTGTTTCTAATAAGTAGAGTATGTAGTGGTGTAGAACTATACTTACGGAGTGATGATATAATGAGAGAGTAAGTGTTTGTGGTACATGAGTGGTTAGAAAGAACTAGTTAATAATTCATAAAAGGAATGATAGATTAATGGTGTTTGAGAATTCTCTATCTAGAGTATTTGTTGTAAGGGTGAGTTAATTAATTAGATCTGTAGTGCAAGTGTATTCTAGTATTATGTGAGAGGAACAAATTAACAAGGGTGTTAATTAGTATGGGGGGGTGGGGGTGGTGGGAGTTGGGAATGGGGTGGGGTTGAGTAAATAGAATTTATGATTTAGATGTGATGGAGAGGATTGAATATGATTGTTGGGGGGTGGGTATAGTTAAGAAGGTGGGGTGGGTGGAAAAGGGAGGGTGATTGAGGGGGGGAAATGTATTATTATTATGGTTGTGTTGGGTGTTGTATAGTTTTGGAAGATAGAGATGAGAAGGAAGGGAAGGTATGTGAGTAGAGTTTGTGTGACGTGCATTAGTTTCTGATGACTTTGTAATTCTGCTATGTACTATCACATGGGCTTAGCGAAGGTTGCAACCAGATCTCATCTTTTCTGTTGATCCATTTACGTGTTCTGTCCTGGATCCACGTATTGGTGCGGCGCGATGGTCGTAATGTTACAACCGTCGATGCTGATTGTGTGACCCAGTTAATGTTGTCTTTCAGTTCATTCCATGTGTCATTCGCTGAGCTGTGAGCCTGTAGGTCCCAGTCAAGGGTTGCTGCTAAATTGTGCAGGTTAACATAGTCCGTAGTGGTTCGTTGAGTCGCTCATTCTTTAGCAACAACACTGGGATAACACACATATCCAAATGTTAGGACTGAATGGTCGCTGCGGCCCAGTGGAAGATCGTATGCTACTGACTTAACCAGCAACTTTTCATTAGTCAAGATTAAGTCCAGGAGTGATGGCTTGTTTGAACCGCGGTGTCTAGTTGCTCGATGCACATTGTTATACAAAACTGCCATATCCATGAATTGGAGAAGTCTCGATTTAAATGATGGCTCATTATGGGACATTGATGCTAATGAAGGAACATTAAAGTCACCCATTATAAGGTAGTGAGAGTAGTTTTGTGAAACAGCATGACGAAGGGAGTTCAACAGAAGGTTATCGCTGTCTGCTGATGAGTTCGAAGGCCTACAGTAATCGTGTTAGCATCATACATACCACCTCGATAGATGGCAGCTTTCAAGGGCAGTCGTAACTTCGGAGGCTAATCTTATTTTTCTAAAGCTTCGTAATATGCCTGACAGCACAAGATGAGTCAAGCCATAATCATATTAGTAATAGACATGGTAATCCGTCGCCCTTCACGGTTCAATGGCATAAGTCTCTAACTTATAACTGTAACCTTATGGGTTCGAACCTGGCAGGATCCGGCGGATGCGCACTGCTTTTGAGTCCTAATAGGATGAAACTGTCGCCTAACACATCCTTGGATATGTGATAGTTATCAGACTTGGCCTAGATTTGTGGCTGATAGTTGTAATGGACAGTGATGTAATATTTGTTGGCAAAGTTTCCATAAGTTCAGTGCTAGTTACTCGAGATGCACCGCAGTTGAGTTCAATCTACAGTATATTGGTAAATATCAACTTGACTGACAGCGGTTAAATAAGATGAGGCCAATTGTGCTTCCTGTAGAAAACCTCAGTTCATCATCATCATCCTCATCCTCATCACCACCACCACAATCTTCATCATCATCATCATCATCATCATCATCATCATCATCATCATCATCATCATCATCATCATCATCATCATCATCATCATCATCATCATCATCATCATCATCATCATCATCATCATCATCATCATCATCATCATCATCATCATCATCATCATCATCATCATCATCATCATCATCATCATCATCATCATCATCATCATCATCATCATCATCATCATCATCATCATCATCATCATCATCATCATCATCATCATCATCATCATCATCATCATCATCATCATCATCATCATCATCATCATCATCATCATCATCATCATCATCATCATCATCATCATCATCATCATCATCATCATCATCATCATCATCATCATCATCATCATCATCCTCATCATCATCATCATCATCATCATCATCATCATCATCATCATCATCATCATCATCATCATCATCATCATCATCATCATCATCATCATCATCATCATCATCATCATCATCATCATCATCATCATCATCATCATCATCATCATCATCATCATCATCATCAACATCATCATCATCATCATCATCATCATCATCATTATACACATTAGCTACGGGTGGAAACATCTCAGCTGTTGTTCCGCAATACAAAGGCATGAAAAGGAAAATAAACAGTGGCACGCCGGCTGAGTCCCCATTGACAGATGGACATCGTTCCGGAGAGCTAACAGCGGGATATCATGCCGCAAAAATAGTTATATTATGCCTAACGATTGCGATTGAAGGGGGAGGCTAAGCAGCTGGGTGCTGGATAGAGGAACTCACAACACAAACGCCATTGGGGCCTGCTCCCAGCCATATCAGCAAATGTGTCCAACCAGATGTGTTCATCGTCCTTAGGACCCCAGCCAGGCGGTCGGGATGCATCAACGGATGCCAACTTCGAGGTGAGTGTTTTCATTTCTCTCGATCAATCCATCGTTTGGCCTCCTCTCCTTTTCTTCTAAATGCACCCCGGCGTGCAAACAATGCACGTCCCGGGAGTAGGTGTGCTGGCATGCGCAACACGTAACCGAACCGTCGGAGTCTGGTGCGTGATATAATGGTGCTGAGCGGTTCACTCGCTCTTCCTGCACCAAATACGCGCCACCGAACACACTCAGTGCTCACGCGGTGCTCCCACCAGACATGAGCTTAACTGTTGAGGGGGCGATGATCCAACGTGGCTAGCCACTTTTTGTCTGTCGACCTGGTGGGCCAGGTTTCACAACCGTATGAGAGAGTTGGACGGACGACTGCGTGATAAACTCATCCCTTCATGGCGACAGTGATCGCACGTCTGCGTCACAGGTGACGGAGATTGGCTAAAGCACCTCGAGCTTTTGGTATACAGTTCGTAATCTCATGTTCGATCCCAGGAGCGCTAATATAGCTGCCCAGATACTTGAATTCCTGAACGACTTCTAGCTGATCACCGCAAACTGTCAGTCTAGGGGTGGGTCCCTGCCAATCTTGGAGAAGTACTTTGCACTTCGATGGAGCAAAGCATAGCCCAAACCGATTGACAGCCAGTGCTAATCGGTCCAGTGCTGCTTGGTACGTTTGCGAGTTATCACATATGAGAGCAATGTCATCCGCTCACTCAAATGAAAGAAGTCGCTCACCAGGAAGTAGCTCCACACCTTCTAGCTCGTGTCCGACGAAAGCTGTTTCCATTACTCCATCAATAGCGAAGTTAAAGACAAACGGTGACAGCGGGAAACCTTGTCTCACACCGCTGGTGATACTGAAGGGTGGCGACAGTTTGCCATAAACCCACACTCTGCCCGAACCATGCATCTACAGCGCTTTGATAATGTTTACGTATTTATCGGACCCAACTTTTCTCAGCAGACAGTCCCAAAAGGCACGATCTACCGAATCGAAGGCACCTTTGATGTCGAGAAACACGACAACCGTGGATCGCCAATAAACATGGCGGTCCTCCAACAATTGACTCAAAGTGAAGATGTGATCGATACAGCCTCGATTTTGACGAAACCTAGTTTGTTGTTTGCGGATCTGGCTTTCACTAGCGCCAGACAGTATGTGGAGAACGACAGGCGCAAGCAATTTAGAGGCCAGTGAGATCAGACCGATCCCTCTAGGCTTGCCGCATTCGGAACGTGAGCCTCCCTTGAAAATTGGGACTAAGACGGAGCGGCTCCAGTCTGTCAGGACAGTTTCCTGCTCCCAAAGTTCCATTAGTAACTCGTGTAAATCACCTACGAGACCAGGTCCCACGAATTTGTAGAGAGCTGGGAAAATTCTATCTGCACCATATGCATATGCAATTTCGGCTATCTGACCTCACGTTCGACTTCTGCGTGTGGAGGTGGATCGAAGGAGACAGCCCATGGAGAAAGGCACTCAATGTCCGAAGGAAAAAGCGATAACTCAGATTGGTGAAAGTGTGACAGGTGGGCGAGAAAGTTGATTGCCAACGAGCGCCTGTTCGCCACAAAGCGTGCTTAGGACAGAATCCGAGAGCATGTTGCCACGCCCAGCAGAAAACTGATGAAATCGCGCATCAGACATCATGTACGTTGCCATGCCCCGGGTAGGCGGATGGAGGCTGGCGTGCCCGAGCAAGACGGTGAACTGGCCAATCGGAGCGGACAGTCAAGTTTGGAGCGTGGGCGTACGAGGAAGACAGGTAGCGAAATCCGTCAGGCGGTGTTTGGAGGATTGGTGAGTCCGACCTATAAATATGAGCGTTCCCGGTTCTTATGCAAATCTGGTTGGCCGAGTCTTTTTCTGTTTTGCTTCCTGTTGGGTAGGCCAAGGCGTCAGGCAGTGTAGGCTTAAGGGCGCAGCTTTAACAGCAGGCGTGAACCAACCGGTCGATTGCGGGTACAACGTTATAACAAACTGCCTTGTAAAGTGTTCGGCCCAATGCTCCAAACATTTTGGCGAGCTGTGGATCGACTGTCCACTCTCGTCGCGTATTGTTTTGCTAAAACCCGGTCTCCTGCTGCCTATTTCCCGTATCAGACGGAAGGACTTACGATGATCACCAACGACAGCGGCTGCTTCCATTTCCGATGCACGAGGTGTTCACCAGCCTTCACGGTCTGTATTTAGGCTAGCACGCAGTTTTGGCCCGAGATTTTTGCGAGTCTCATTGTATTCGCTTCCAGTCGGAATACGTCATCGAGGGTCCATAAGTTCTAGAGACTTCGTCGAGACCCAATGTCTAGGTTGGCAATTTGATTTGCCACATAAAGACATGCCTGTTGATAGTAACGTGCGGCGAATATGCGACCAGTGATCCTCGACGGTGTTTAGTGGACGTTTACTCATTAGAGTCGATAAGTACGAATGGCAGGAGAACATGGTGCTGAAATTTACAAGTAACACCAATCTACTTTACAGATTTGTGAATGGCAGAAGAAAGGTTAAGCCCGGAATACCACCACTCAGGACGGCAGTGGCCTAACAACTAATGCTGTGGATGCCGCGAATGCTCTAGTCTTGCAGTTTGGCTCGGTAGCTACAAATGTCATGGAACCTTCGCCCTATCAACACCCAACAAATGTCGTGGGCTTATCCAGCGTCACCCTTACTCCAACAGCTGTTGCAAGCAAACTACATTCTCTCCGGGAGTACAGTGCCTCTGGAATCGACATGATCTGCTCAAAAGTACTAAAAACCCTTGCTCCTACCATAGCAACACCACTTGCAACCTTGTTTCAGTGTCTGCTTAACTCCCATACACTCCCATCTGAGTGGAAAAATGGAATTATCACTCCAATATACAAAGGAGGTAAGCGCTCGGATCCTGCTAACTACCGACCTATTACCCTCCTTCCTGTTTTATCAAAACTGCTAGAATCGTTAACTGCAGATGAACTGATGCGATACTTTGAAAGTCAACAGATAATTTCTAATGCCCAACATGGTTTCAGACGCAGACGATCTGGTCTCACCAATTTGCTGATTACTCGGGACTTATAGACCAGGGCGACTGATGAAGGAGTCCCAATAGATGTGATTTAGTTGGTTTTTTCTAAAGCATTCGACAGAATCAATCACTACTTTCTCCTCCAAAAGCTTGCTGCCTATGGTGTCAACAGTTTCCTGCTCACCTGGTTAGCAGACTGCTTACACGATAGAGCAATCAAGGTAAGAGTAGCCGATACCTATTCTGAAAGCCTTTACTTCTCCAGTGGTGTACCACAAGGATCCATCCTCGGCCCGCTACAGTTTTTAGTCTACATTAATGACCTTCCAGCAGACATTCTATCTCCGATGCAAATATTTGCAGGCGATGCTAAAATATGGAGAGCAATTCGCTCAGCATCCCACCATGTCTACCTCCAGGAAGTCCTGACTCGGATTAACGAATGGGCAGAAAAGAACCAGCTCCCACTGCACCCTGCAAAGTTCCACCTACTGACGGTGCGCAGCAGCTTCGTCAACGCATACCTTTTAGGGCAACACGTCATGCAACACGTGCCTAGTGAACGCGACTTAGGTATAGTCGTGCAGGAGAGTCTTAGCAATTCGCTCAAATGTTCGAAAGCAGCAAGTGTAGAGACCTTGAAGTTTAGAATTTTGAGGCGAGCTCACGGCCCCTTTGAGCGACGGTTAGTGCCAATGTTGATTAACTCCTTTATTCGCCCTCGCGTTGAATATGCAATTCAAGCCTGGTGTCCATGATTAAAACGAGACATTTGCCTATAGGAACAACCCTAAAGAAGAGCCCCAAATGCAACGCGTGGAGTATCCGGTATAAGTTACGAAATGCGTCTTCCTGTACTCGGTGTGTTCTCATTAGAATACCGACGGCTTCGCGGGGATCTTACTCTCACATACCGGATACTAACCGAAAGCGAGCGTCCATGTACATCACTGTTGATTCTAGCCCCATACAAACAAAACCGAGGCAACCACCTGAAACTAATGACGCAACACTCTCGTTTGAACTGTGGAA